AATTTTCAGAAATGTTAAGCAATTGATTGGAAGCATAATTTTATACAATGCTTAATATACAAAATGTTTCATTGGCAATTGGTTAAAAGTCTTTGGTGATGTCCACAAAAACAGTCAACTGGTTTGAAATTAAGCCTTGGAAAGGATTCTATCTTTTTGTCGAGGGTCGAGGGTCGAGGGTCGAGGGTCAAGGGTCGAGGGTCGAGGGTAATATATATATTTTTCTGCATCTTTTTTTTTCAAATGTCACAAATCACAGGAGTCATGAATCCAAGGCTTGTTAACCCCATTTTACATGACCATTCAGTACATGTGTATTTGCTTTGTTATAACATACAAACAAACAGCCCCGTGAAGGAAAGGTTTTCTAGGTCTTACCATCCCTTGCAACTTCTGGTCAATCAAAATTCAAAGTTTTGGGAAACTTCAAAGTTTACCCGCCCACTTGGGAACGTTTTGGCGCCACTCTACAAACACTTGAAGAGAAACAAAGTCAGCAATGCATACGGGCACTTTGTCTTTTGCAGTTTTGAAAATCAGAATGAATGATAGGAAATTAATAGGGGATTTTCTGTCAGATATCAGTTACTTAGCCCATGTGAAAGGTTCATTGAGGAAAAGAGGCAAGAATTAAAGTTCAAGCTTGAGGAAGCAAGCACTAAAAGAAAAGAACTTGAAGAAACCTCTGCCAAGATAAGAGATGTAGCTACCACACTTGGAAATACCGGTCAACGCTATGTAATTGTCATGTAAGAAAACACACAGTTCACACCTGCCGAATGGCAAAATGTGAGTCAGTGTTTTTCTGTGGAGAGTTGAGTAGGCATTCAGATGAAAAACAGGAGTTTCAGGAGAAAAAAAGGAAATTGCAGCATTAAAAACGGCCACCGCGAAAATAGAACTGGATTTGAACTGGCTTTCCCCCAAGTAAAAAATAGTTCTTTGAATAAACACGTAGAGGAAATTTTGCTTGAAAAGTTTCCCCATTGATTTCCTATCATTCATTCTGACTAGGTACAAAATACTAGGTGGAAGATTGTATACAACAAGTTTGAAGGATGTAGCTTGGCTAGAAGACGCTCAGTTAATTTGTATAATTTTCCATACATTTGTCTGTATTTTTTTTCCCGCACACCGCATCCACCCAGCCAAATTTACAGACAAATGTATGGAAAATTAGAAAAATAAACCAAGCGTCTTCTAGCCAAGCTACATCCTTTAAACATGGTGAATACAATTCTCTACCTAGTATTTTAACGTTACGATTCACATATTGTGTAAAATTCAATTTTGGAAAAAGTTATTTGCCATCGGATTCCCATACAAACACTGTAATTTCTGATATGTAGCCAATTTAAGCTTGCAAATATCACAGATAGTTTTCATCGTGACCCATCGCAAAGCCCTGCAAGTTTACCGAAGGAGAGTGGTAGTTTAGATCGCAAATCACTCAAAACAGCAAATTTAGCAAAGGAGGAAAATAGCCGTAATTTTGCTCCCATCGCCTCCCGGGGAGGGGGGGGAACACCCTTATATGGGCTATAGAGGTAGGTGTGGCCCCAAAGGGTATGGTTTTTCAGCCGTTTTGGTCATAAATAGGGTATCGATTTTAGCCATTTTGGTAAATGGGGTATGGATTTTGCACTCTAGCCTTGATATGGGTATGTTTTTAAGAAGAAGCCACTTTTTCATCATTATCGAAAAGAAAATCAGCCAGCCTTCAAAAATTATGTTTGTGGTAATTTAACATTGGTCTGAACTAGGAAACTAACTGTAACGCAGGTCTGAAACAGGGTTTTGATTTAAGGTTCAGGTCATAAATAGGGTTTCGAATTTATGGCCAGGTCATAAGTAGGGTAGGGAATATCGCAGATTTTGGTCATAAATAGGGTAAGGGTTTTGGGAAGCGGGTTGCACACCCCCGACCAATTTTTCTGGGTGTACCCCCCACCCCCGGGCATCGCCTCCAGATTTCACCTACAGTTCCTGTTTGATAGATGGCAAACGAATATTTCTCATCGCGCCCGTCAATATCACTGGAAAACAATGACACCAACACTCCACGAAATCGCATTGGCAGTATCACGACCTAAACCATTACAATGACATAGAAAAAGAGGTACACAAACAAAGCCAGGGAAGGCATTTTTATTTGTTTTCCACAATGAAAAATTTGAGCAAAGCTAAAAATGTGAAATTCGAAGCCAGTGGGACACTCTAACACAACATCGTCAAAATCAATACAAATGTTAACACGAACCACATTCCATTATCGCTGTGTATCTTTTTGTTGAAGAAATAACAACTGTAAAACTGAATGTTTGGATTTATTTCTATGCTGATAGCCATTCAAAAGTTGATGGTATTAGTACATTGGTCAAAGCATTCAGCGTGATGAAGTCACATGAAAACTGGACTTTGAATGTTATAGAAGGTTATAGATAAATAATCAGGGCTGTGATATATTATTAAACCCTCAACATGAGACCCAAAAAGATATCTGAATCGAGAAGACTACATAAATTATCTTTCTCGCTGTAGCAAAGACGTTTGTGATATGAAGTGCGATCATGTTAGCAGACATTAAACTAAATCGGGTAGGAACATGTAGACCGGACTAGACTAAGCAGCAGTAATCAAGCTTACAGCAAAGAGTAAAACAAACAAACCCAGAAAAAAATATATTACCCTCGACCCTCGACATGGGACCCTCAACCCTCGACCCTCCACAAAAAGATAGACTCCTTGGAATGTACCGGTAATAAGAAACCACTTTGTTTGAAAAAAATTTCCACTAGAAGATGAAAGTGAGGAACTATTTTTGAACAGTTTTGGAACATACCTTGCACATTGTAGAAACTTTTATGGTTTCCTTGAGTACATGTATCAATTAAGCCATATCATGTTGCAGACAAACAGAATCAAACATGGTTATCTTTATACGCAGGACCATACTGGGAAAAATTGGTCACTGTAACTTGAGCATATTTACAGTTTGTATAGTGTAAATACAAGGCTAGTGCAGCTACTTGAACCAGGCTAGTTGGAATAGAGTCAATGTTAACCCTATACTGCATTCATAAAATGAGAGCTAATGAAATTTATCAATTTCTGGTGATTTAGACTGCTGTAAGCATTTCAAAATTTGATTGAAATACACATGCAGCACATGTAGCTAAGTGTGTTTGTAAATACCCTTACCTGTTAAGAAACCACTGTCAACCGTTTCATTGCTTCTTGACAAACATTCTTTCTGAGACTGAGATACCGATAAAATTAACAGAAAGTTGTTTACAGCAACCATTTTTTATGAGGTGTGCTCAAGGTTCAAATTGCTATTCATAGCATTCTAGTAGTACACTAATGCAAATGATGTAATCTGATTGATTGAGTGATCACACACTATCAGCCATTAGTGTGCAGTGGTTGGAGGTCATCTACGAAATGGTGACATTTTTTTTTTCTCTTGTCCAAAGTTTTGGAGGAACATAATCTAATGTTTATTAATTATTATACAGAAGAACCTCCACTAATGGCCACCTCTCTACAATGGCCACTAAAATTCAAAATGGCTGCTGTATTACCAAAAAGGTCCATTAAATCAAAAGAACAGTTTAGCAAACAGTAGCAGACATCAAAACAATAATGGAAAAAAGTTAACCCTTTTTCAAGAAATAACATAAAAATTGTATTGTGTACCTCTGGTTCTCCAGCCAGAAGCAAATCTACCTCTTCTGTACTTAAAGTGCAAGTGACGTCCACATCTGTCGGTGATTTACTTCCTTCCGGCATCTATAGAAAGGGGAAAAAAGTAGAGTCAGGAATTTGAGGAATTCTGCTATTTTTGACAATTTAAGTTCTTTGCTTGCAAAAAAAAAAAAGATTTGAATAAGACAACTTACTAATATCTATCAAACAGTTAAAAGTAAGCCTTTGCCAATGTGTATTACAGTTAATAAGTAGCTGACTGGTTTACTCTACATTGTGTGGTTCTAGAAAATATCGCTTCCCACCACCACTGAGGGAATTGGAAATTCCGAACGGGTGGGGGGTGCAGCAAAGACCCAGGAAATTCCAGAGGGGAGGAGGTTTAGACGTTCGATTCACCATCTATGGGTATATTACAAACTCACAATGTGACCAGTGCCCAGTTGGCTTGATAGCTCATTTGGTAGAACACTGCACCGGAGGTACATGGGTTCCAGAGGTCATGGGTTCGAATCCCGTTCAGGTCTAAATTTTTTTGAGGGTTAAATTTCACAACTGCTTAAGTTGTGTGTATAACTGCGATGATCAACCATGTCTTCATATCTTTCTCCACAGTTCAAACATAATTATATTTTATATATTCACCTACATTCTTCACCGTCTACAGGTGTATATAACGAACTCTCAATGTGACCAGCTCCCAGTTGGCTTGATAGCTCGGTTGGTAGAGCACTGCACCAGTATCCCAGAGGTCATGGGTTTGGATCCCATTCAGGCCTGAATTTTTTTTCAGGCTTTAATTTCACAATTGCTTAAGTTGTGTGTATAACTGCGATGATCAATCATGACTTTACTTCTTTCTCCACAGTTCAAATACATGATATTTCATATGTTCACTTGCGGACTTAGTCATATATGGGAAGGTAATTTGACAAGTTACCATTTCATCTATTTTTGGAGTGTTTACTTTAAATTTAACCCACTTACTTGCCAAAATGAATTTTTCCAGAGGCTATGGGGGTGTACATAATACTCATAGAAATTTTGGAGGGGTGGGGGGGGTATTTTTGTGTTAAAAAATGGAAATTCCGGGGGGGGGAGCTTACATGTACATGAAATTCCCTCCGTGGTAGGAGTATGGATATTTTCTGGAACTACAAATTGCAAAAGGAAATAAATAAAAAGTGACAAACGTAAAATGAATTAACTCAGTTGGTCAAATAGTAAGCAAAACTCTGGATCTTTCTTTTTCTCTGGAAATGTAACAGATCAAAATGGAGTATAAGGTGTACCGCTTGCTGAATTTGCATCCCACTTGTAGCAGTACATGTAGCATTCATTGATCCACTAAGAGGTTCCACACGGACCAGATTAGGACCATGGCTTGTTGCCTGCAGTTGACCACTTGAAACAATGTTGGGAGATACTTGATCGTAAGCACATGTAGAGGCAGAGACGTCTGAAAATGTTCATGGTCATGTATCAATAAAGGATTTGTAATATTGTTCTTAAAACTAATATATTTTTATTTCTTTATGAGGCCAACTTTTCATCTGTGGACTCTGTAAAATAATGATATGGTCAAAATGGCTGACAAGCCCTGTTACTCTAACCCTGACACATAATGATTAGCTAGAAAGGGGAGAGCCATATTTATTACATGCATTTTGTTACATCCTTCCCTTTATATGAGGAGTAAGTCCATCTCAACCTAACTACTAAATACAAGTAAAATAAATCAAGAACTCAACACAATCTATCCAGTCTGGTTTAACTTTAATATACTCATCTGCCACAGTGGGTGACATATGGACCTGAACCATTTTTTTTCCTTCCCTGGTTCTGGGTGTTGCTCTTGGAATGGAATATCTCGCAGCACGATGGGAGTTCTGCATAAATCACTGGCTAAGTTGCCCCTTGCTACATATCGAAGTTTCAGCCTCTAAAGTGTAGGTTTTCGTTATGAAATTCGTCTCCAAAAAAGTCCAAAACTTGGCATCATTGCTGCCATTTTGAACAGTACACTCAGCAGTCAGGCAGCCTTTTTGTGATGTCATTCTGTCCAAGGGATTTTGTCCATGGCTTCTGCCAAGCCTTTTAACTACTCTAGGTTATGGCTGCTCTTGAGCCGTATTATTTTGAGCCAAACATGCTCCAAACCCCAAAAATGATAGCCATGAAGATAGTGAAGTGGATTTATAAGGGGTTGGAAAAAAAAAAACATTTTGCTGACCTAAGGATGGCAAGCCAGTTGCAAGTTTTTTTGCTTCCTGTCAATCTCAAGTTGGACGGAATGACGTCACATAAATGTGGCCTGGTGCCATAAGTACTATTTCAAAATGGGGGTCTTTAAACTCAAAGTTGGGCTTCTTTTGAGACGAATTTCTTCAGGATAGCAGGCACTTTAAAGGCTGAAACTTCAATGAGTGGAAAAACCCACTGTTGACGTGCTATAGGTGGAGACAAAAAAGTAAGCTTTTTGGAGTGACCTTGATTTTTTCCAAAACAATCTTGGTGCATGGTGATGTTTGAGAAATTTGTAACAGTAGCACACAGAGAGCAAATAATGTTTCCCACGAAAATTCAATTAAGTTAGTTGCTAATTTTTTCCGAGGTAGTGATGGTGGCACAGAGGGCAAGCTGTCTCTTGGCACAGTTCACAAATAAATATTTGCAATTGCCACTGACATTCCGGACCAAAATACACTAAATGAACAGAAATCCATCCTCTCTTGTCTCTTCTGGGTCCAAGTCCTCTCTGGTTGCTTGGTCCAAATCAAACCATTTTCACTCAGAGCTACCTGTTCCTCTTAGCCAGCACTGCCTTGACATGAGGAAAGGTGGCTCTGTAGGGTTGGTACATTTCATTGACCCCTAGTCCATGGACTACCCCAATGGACCTGGTCTGTGGACTACTTGAATGGTGTTTGTCGATCGATCGCATCTTTTGTTCAGGTTCTAGCATTCTTAAATTTATGTTTGCTACAAATTTCAGGGTGGTCCATTTAGGATAGTCCATGGGTAGTCCCTTCAAGTAGTCCATGGATCAGGCCCATTGGGGTAGTCCATGGACTAGCTAGGGGTCAGCAAAATGTACCAACCCAGCTCTAGAATTATGATTGTAACTGAATGCAGCCAATAGCAGCCAGCGACAAATGCTTGTATCGCATGCCTACAAGGAGGCACAAATAAAAAACCTATGGCTTCTGCATGTTAAAATGATTTGATTGGCTAGATTGTTGGACTAAGATTTTCTCTACTTCAATGCTGGTTTCATCCCAACAAATGTCCACTGGGTGTCAACTGACTTTTTAATTAAACATCTTTAAGCCTTAGACCTTAACAAATTTGAGCACATAAATAGCTTTCAATGCTTCATTATATTCAAACTACCATGAAAGATTTGGTTTCCTTTGTTTAACTTGATGATTATTATCAACTGTAAATGAGTTTGAAAAACACTTTTACCTTGAAGCACTTGACCATGTAATAGATTTTCAGCATTGCTTGTGGGTATATCACCTTCAATAAACTGAAACAGAACAGAAAACTAATTAGAATACTTCTTTTTATCATTTTAGAAATCAAATTCAAATTTGCATTAATTCACCCTTGTACGGAATGCACTGCACTGAGTATTTTGACTATAACTACTAACACTAATTCACCCGAGAATCCTTCCTCTTTAAATGAACTAATAGGGTACGTGGAAATTATCGAAGGTTTCTGGTAAAATTTGGCCAGAAAATTTACTGATAGATAAGGAACAAAAGTGTGTTGGCAAATTCTTTCATTTTAAATACTTTTCTCATGGCAGCCTCTAATGCAACATGCTACGCCAATTTTTTGATAGTGGAAGATAACCAGTAGAAATAAAAGAAATTGCCGACACCTTTGAGAGATTGATGGTTTGTGATTAACATTGTACATTTATTTTGTATGAACGATCACGTTTGATACTCGATTAATTTATTTGCCAAAATTTCAGTCCGCTGATTTGCTGTTTATGGCTTCTGCTGCCTTAGGAAAGCAATCTGCTGAACAGAATATCCTTTAATCGAATTTTACATTTCATAACCCCTCTACTGATATATAGTTTGTGGGGGTTTCCTTGAAAACAGCAGAAATATATATCGAGTACATAAAGGAGGGGTATGCTAATATTGACCATTTTACAGTCTCTTAATATTTTAACTTTCATTCTTTTATTGCATATATTTAGTTGGGTTAATTTTAATTATATGCAAATGCAAATGCAAATGCAAATTTAATGTTAAACACAGGGTGTGCTTACACAATCTCCCGACCTAGAGGCTCATGATAAAGTACTATAGTGCTATAGTTATGCTATAGTTATAGTTACATGTAGGAATTTTTAAATCATTGTAATTATGTATATAATACATATTTTTTTGTATTCATTGTACATAACTTTTTATTGTTCATACTTTTACTATACTTAGTTATTTCATAATTACTCATAGATTTTTAGCACAGAGGGCCACTAATTTATCAGTTTATACTCCAATTGATCATAAGTAGGAACTAATCAAAATGCAAGAATAATTCATTATATTAAATATATAAATAAAGATAAGAATGTTAATTACAACCTAGTACCTCTTGCTCATCCTCCATAACAACATAGAGTGCCTTATTGCTGACAAGTATTCTTTTGAGTGTGCCACCATCCCAAACACGATGCTCACCATGAAAATCTAGTTTTGTGTCATTCCCAATGGCTGCAGCACATGAAAATCTATATTCCAAAACCACAACAGAAAAATTAGTACACATTTCAATTACTAGTACTGCAAGTCTAATGAGAGAGCCAGTACTTGCTTTTCCAACTCTTAAAAGCAAATTCAGAAAAAAGGAATTTAATTATAAATTAGAGGAATTGGAATATTCAGTTTCCAACAATCTGATGATCATGCATGAACAGTCCAAAGTTCAAAAATTATAAGCTTCCACTCGACAAATTAAAAAATTATCTGCATTATAGTAATAATTCATTCATGTGAGACATGTAAAAATGAGAGATTTCCCAATAATTTCATATAATGGCCTT